CGTCCAGCCCGTAGCTAGTCACTATACTGACTGAGCTATCCCGGCTGCATCTTCAAGGCTGATGATGGAGATGACATATTTCTCCAAAATGTTTATATTTAATAACTAGCCCACACAGCGTTACAATGTAGAGCAACATCAACACAGACGGGCATTTTTCATGCAACAGAACATTTGTAAATATGTCACAAGTGAAAATTATAGTATAATATTGAAAATAGCTAAGGGCCTGTTAAATGAAGGCTGTTTCTTTTTTCCCCCTTAAGAAACTTCTTTCTGAAGAACTCCTATAAAATATTGTTAAAAATGTTAATCCCAAGACTTTTTAAAGATGCATTTCATTGTATTAAAATTGTACTTTGACGTGTGTTACAGACGGTAGCCAAGCTAAAGAGTCTGTATGCCCATCCAGATGATGTGGACCTCTTGGTTGGTGCCATGTCTGAGCATGTGACAGACGACAGTGTGCTTGGTTTTACATTTCGCTGTATTATAGGAGAACAGATGCTCAGAACCAAGAAGGGAGATCGCTTCTTTTATGATGTGCCCAGCCAAGAAAATTCTTTTACCGAAGGTAGGAGGGGACTGTTTAATTGCAACTACAACCTTTCACATTTAATAATTTATTTTCTTATCCTGTTGTAACTGAACTCTTGTTCTAAGAAGGTTTTCCTCCTGCAAAAATAATATAAATTACTTTGTACTTTGAAAACAATTGATCCAAATTTTAAAATGTTGAGCTCTTCGATGCATGATTTGTAAATAAGTCATATACTGACACAAAAAGAATAATAACTATGTCTTTTTCTTCTTACAGCACAACTTGATGAGATAAGGAAGTCAACTCTGGCACGTGTCTTCTGTGATAACGCAGACGACATAAAAATGATGCAGCCAAATGTGTTTGTCAGGCCCTCAAAAAGGTAAGTTTCACAGTAAAGTTTAAACTTTCACATATTACATGTCATTGATGTGGATATAAAAAAGCAAAGTTTTCAAGTTTTAAGGGATGCATCTTGTTGCGTGACTGTCTATCAAATTAAATCAAATAATCAAAAACTGTTGTGTATGAACTGCCAACTTAATAATTAGTTTCAGTAAAAATTTAACATATCTATAACTGGAATTGACATTCCATGAAAGGTTTTGTTAATTACATACTTTTATGAAACTCATTAATTTAACATTTAGTAATACAGGAACAAGTCATATTTTGATATCAGGTGTGTGTAAGATGACACAGTATGAAAATTGCGAGTAGGGTAATAAATATAATTTCGTTCTGTTTCTAGCAATCAGTTGGTATCATGCAGCAGCACAGATGATATTAAACAGCCAAGTCTTTCACCCTGGAAAGAATTTCTGGTAAAAAGTTCATGATCATTTCTGTTACTTTTCTCATAATTTCTGGTGACTGTATATCATTATATCACGAAAGCTGTTTTACTACCTACTGAGCACCGTGTACTATTAAGTCGATACAATGTGGACCACTACCATCTTGGTACTTTGGGTGCAAACACCGCAAATAACAATTTCAATATATATGAAGTGAATAATTAAGTGCTCTTACATATTGGAATGTATTTGTACTTGAAATAATACTCATTGTAAAGCTGGCAAACATGTATATCTGTTTTGGAGTTCTGGGGACATATCAAATTTGGTGACTTGCACATCCCATGGCAAAGAACGAAAACCACAAGCAAGCCTTGTTCACAGAGTCATTTACGTTAATTATAATTAATATTGGAAGTGAAAGACAACATTACGAAAAGAGAAAACAGTTCATTAAATAAAGCGAAATACTCTTGAAATCACTGACAGACAACAAGGAATTCTAAACAGATGTATATTTGTGGAAATTTTTCATCTATTAAAAAAAAATACAATTTGGAAGCTGGCTCTGCTTCTTTCATTAGGAAAAGTGGTGCAGACTGATATTAGTTTTGTCCAACGGACCCGATTGATTTGGTTTATAGTTTCATAGTTTCACTTCTTGATGGCAGCAGAGTCAGAAGAATGACAGAAATGGACATGTAGTTGGGACAAATATGCCAAACAATAAGACTGTGTAAATCTATTAATCTTTATGTAAAGTGCCTATGTTGATGTAACTTGACGTATTCTCGACAAAATGTCGAGCGTTAAAATATCAAACTGTAAAGGGGCTTACACACATTGTGATACTATTTGTGTTTCATGATGCACGTTGTAATGTGTATAGAAACGTATCAGCGAAAGGTAGTAGTGATACATAGCAACTCATCTTTCTGCATCAGTGGTTGTACACTTCGCTTAAACTGATACGACTATCGTTAAGTTGCATCACCACATGTTTGAATGTGTATAAGCCCCTTAAATGGCCGTAAACATTTAATGCAATGCAAATAGAATGTAATGTGATTGTATTTATTATTAAGTGGTAATTGTAGCTCGTAGTGCTTAAATGTGCAGAGTATTCTTACAGCCTCTATTTTGGATTACTTCCAGAGTGTAGATATAAACCAAAGCCAATTAAAATAAATATTCTTTTATGAAATGTGCCATGTACCAACTTTCAGAAATTTAGATTATTATATCATGTCTCAAGACTCAGGGTTTGTAATTTAATAAATTTATTTGTAGGCTGAGGTTAGGAACTTAGAATGTGGTTCAGTAGAAGACAATATTTTTAAAAGAAATTAATAGATCTGTGTGTATTACAGTCTAGTTTTCTTAATCTTTGATGTGTTAATCATAATTATTGCATAAGCGCATATACCTGTATGAGGTTTATAACAACAGGAAAAATGATGAAGTTTACAATGAACAGGTATTGTGATAAATAAAATCGTCATGAAACTTTAACTACATTTACCACAAATGGTGGCGCAAGATTATTTTACGTGACCAAGATGAACAGTGTCTTACGTGAATTACTACTGAGTGAGAAATTTTGTACATAATTTAGGAATGGCATTTCCACAAAAGAAAAACATAAAATGGACCAATTTTAACTTCTGGTATTCTGTATAAGATACCTTTCATATCAATAGTGTTTTATATTTGGATATTTTCTTCTGCCCTCCACAGATTAGGCTCAAGCCTGTTCCAACTTTATAACCATCACTTAAATTGTTCATATATCTGTATCAATCTCTCACTCATTAATAATTTTGTTTTATTGTACTTGAAAATTCAGTCTTATGAATGAATCTATTTATACACTGCCATAAAACATGTCACTGTTGTATATACCCATTGTAACAACAATTTTATTGTACTTATTTGCCTTACATTCATTGTTTTATAACCATTTTCATACCCTTTTAAATAAAAAAATTATCTATTTTCACAAATTCAGAAGAGGGGTTTTATTTTCTGTGAAGCACAACGAAATATTTTGTATCAATATGTCTTCACATCTTCTGAATACAGCTAAAGATAAAACATTACTAGTCTACAGTGTACACACCTAACAGGCATATTTAGCATTTGGAATTATAAATGGCATGCTTAAACAAAAGCAAATTGAGTAAGACTAATTCTACAATGAACTCTCCCCTTATAACAAACGTTAAATTCACCTGCAACTATTCACACTGCGGATTACTGAGTTTTTGGACTCTGTCCATCGTACGGTATTCTAAAAAAATACATGCATCTATCTTTGTCGTCACTTTTTGGCATTACATCCTTTCACAGGTGACACTCATTACACATTTTTATTGCAATCGAAGAAATGAAGCATTGAGCGAGACACTTGCACTTTACGAAGTCCTAACTTTGTAGGAGGTTCACGAAGACTAAGGAATAATTTATTCTGCACATTAGCATCAAAAGAGCGCGACGAAACGGGGTGTAAGCTACGACTTAAGGACCGGACACGGCATTTGACGGACTACGATTATTCTTGCGAATTCTGTAACTAACTAAAGAGGCAGCGAATAGTGCCATTGGCTCGGGACACGGTATATCCCTGTTATTTTGTTTAATGGCCCCATTATTCACCCAACTAAACGTCTGAAGAATTAACCGTCGAGGGTGCGCTGTGTGAAAACAAAACAAGAAAATAATGTTTTAGATAATTTTTATATGTGTACTTATTTAAGTGCTAAGTAGAATACAATATCAGTTTCTTATCTACGATACAGATTCACAGATGGGTATAGAGTAGGAGTGGCGTGAAGGACTGTGCCTCCCATTCTTCTTTCTTAATTCTGTGTAGTGTGGATGTGTTGCGGATTACGTTTAGCCGAACAGTAAAACGGCTGCATTATCTGTAGTGACGTAACAAAGTTTCTTCTTAAACCGCACTTTATTCAAAGACAAGGCCAGACACTAATTGAGTGAGCAAACGAAGTACACTGGTAGGCACAGGAAAAACCTCAAAAAGCCACAAAATAAGCCCACACACACCAGGAATTCCCGATAATATAAACAGACATTTAAACGTATACTGATCTTTCATACATCACGAGGGCGATAAGTAAGTCCACTTACTCATCGCCCCGATGATGGAGGCAGCAAAGACCTTCTACCAAACTACACGGCGCAAAAACCCAGAAGACAATCATCTTCAGACTCTCCGCCTTGGACACCCCAAATCTTCCTAACGTAATGTAACCAAACTGTGTGCACCCATATACAATATCACACATGTATGATTTTTTAATTTCTTACGAAAGAGATTAAATACTTCAAAATATTTGTGTCTTAATTAATTTTAAAATTTCGTAATTTACTCTAATTTCTCACAATGGGTAATACCAGCGACGCGGTTTCATGTATGTTAATGGGTCACCAATGCCAATCACCTTCTGCACTAACCTAACCTAAATAATTTAAAATATGGGTACCGATATTACAACATAATGATTTGTCACTTTTAGCAGTGATGAAGGAACGTAAGTGTGTGGTTTATTTAATGACGCTGCCAGACAATACAGCGTCGGATAATAGGACAATTAATAATGAACTGGAAAGGATACGGAACGAAACAGTGGCTATCTAATTATAGGTATTATCGTGGCATTTGTATTTAGGGACTTGGGAGAACCACGGAAAACGTGAATACGAAATAGTATAGCTAACCGTTTGGCTGCGACGTTTGATGGAGGAGTGAGAACAGTATGAAGAACGTAATCTGGGCATTAGGGTTTTCATTATGCGCATAATAAACAGCTTCAAGGTTATCCAGTTCTTTCAGTTAATGCTCCTAGGATGCGTTATCCTGGCAACAAACTACTTCAGCCAAAAGTCATCACTGAATCAATCTACACATCATAATGACCTTCACTAAGCATTTGATGCTACCATATAATTGACTTAAGTCCATGCTTTCCACGAAATTAGGGAAATTAATTAGCAACACGAAGAGAAGACCTTGAAGGTCTTAGTGAAGGTAAAATCCCTATTTAGCGTTGCACATGGTTTCAAGACGTTGCTCAGATGATGATGAATAATTTCATTCTCGAGCAGCTAGGCGTTGTTAGCCAGTTGGTTGGAGCTGAATTTTATCTTATCGCCTCTGTTGTATTCCAATGTATGGAGTAGCACTGAAGAACGAAAGTAAGGCAGACGACGTTACATTTTCCGTTTTTCGAAGTGTTAGCCGGTCTGATAAGACTGCCTCCGTCTAGTTATTCCACTATTACACTTACTGTGTAATGCCGCTGTTCTTTAATAGCCAATTTGAGGATACAAGTTATTCCGTCTGAATTACAACGTAGTAACTACACTATTAATACTTCAAATTAAATAACATTAAATAATAGCTCTCATTCTTCATGCAATGCGTGACTAGATTTCAAAAATTGACGCTTGTGTAAGAAATGCCATCTATGGCCAATCTTTCTAAATAAACGTTTAAGAGCATAGTTCTAATTTAAATTTGAGAACTCAGCGGTTTCACATTGTAATCAGGAAAAAAAGGTGAAACTAAAAGGTTTAAGCTAACTTAAATTTCAAGGTTGTAGTTTTTCATATAATTAAAGGCAAATAACTGAATCACTTTATTACAAACTGAAACAAAAACAAAATATTCACTTCACTTTCGATTTAATCGCGCTCACATCAGTTTTGTTGTTTCTAAATAATAATCCATAGAAAGCGTGTCATAGACAACTCCGGCCGTTCAAACAGCTTCTCCCACCTCGCACCGAAAGCCAGCAACTGCGGAAATGAAGACTGTCATCTTATTAAAACATAAAGTTTCGTATTTTTAAAAAAAACACTTTTAACGTAAATATCGGCAGTTTTTATCTCTATATCCGCCAACCGGCCCCATATCCATTCACATGTAAGACTCCTCGTCATTTAATTTTCATTCATAAATTCGTAAGGGGATTTGATACAAGAACAAAACATTCAATATTTAAATTGTCTATTATGAGCACAATTCACTAAATTTGCAGGGGCTTGTGCCCCATGTCTAATATTGCGAGGAGTGGGGGCTCAGACTTCTCCTGATCATTGTCTCAACGTAGTCGCCAAATTACTCAAATATGAAGGAATATTAATTGCTCCTTATAAGGTTATTCAATGAAGTTATATCGACTGACGTTTTTTGAAAGATGTTCGAACAATTACGAAGTTGCATGGGACGAGAGAGGCATCGACCCTGGTCTGTATGTTTCTATCCCAAAATACAAACATAAGGACCGACACAAACTACGAAAGAGTTTCAAAACGGGTACCACCATAGTGGCTACAACTTGCGTCACTACTAAAAAATAAAAGTCATACGGTTAATGTAAACGATTCTATCATGTCAGTTACACAGAACTTAATTTCGAAATAAAAATTCTTGATAGCTTCGGTCGCAGAAGTTCAGTATGGAAACAATGGGGTTTGTATGACATTATTCTTTATATACATAGACCTATATCCTGACTGACCAAGAACGGATCTCTGATTTATACATTGACGTCGAACAAGTCACTTTTGTCCTAGGGACAAACTGAAAGTTAATATAACAAGTATACACAATTTCCCTCTCGTTTCGTTCGTAGTAGGCTACCACGTAGACCGTTCACACTGACGACATTCACTGACTTTTTTTAATTTAAGAGAAATTCCTAACTGTGGCTGGCGCGTCTCCTGAACTGAGCCAGGGACAACTGCTCCAGTTCCGCCTACCACTAGCGATCACCAGTTAGAATCAGCATTGCAGGTACATGGCATTGCTCTCGAGAGAATTTCTCGATTTCCTCTTGACTATAATTCACCGTATTATAACATGCTCTCTATAAAACCTATGAAGAAGATGGAAAAAAGGTTCTCTCACACCAGAGCTGAATTCGTGAGCTGTAGCGGCAAGCACACTGAATGGGATTTGACTGTATTTAACGTTGTGCAACGTACCATATCATTACCGCTACTGCATAACGCGTTGGTTTGTGAGATAACCTTATTAGTGGATGCTAGTCGGCAGGATTCAGCCATACAAAGTACTACAAGAAGTGCGACATTAGGCACACGAAGAATACAACTTTCAAGATATAATTTCGTGACGTCGTAAATAAAAACATGCCACTTAAATAATTGTAATTTTTTTCTGGTTTTATGAGAGGACCCCATAGAGATTCGAAATTGTGTAATTATTTTTTTGAGATCCAGTGTATACAACCTAAATCTTAACTGCACTATGTCCAAAAGTAAGTAGGAACTAGGAAGATTTATGTCTTCTGGGTTCATCGATTCCTCGTCCTGATGACGGAGGCAGTATGACCTCTGAAACGTTGGTAAACATCGACCAGACTACACAGCGCAACAACCCAGAAGACAGAAATCTTCATACTCACCGCTGTGAAAACCTCAAATCTTACATTAATATACATTATTTAGCTCTAAATACACATAAAAATGAATGAAACTCTTACGCCGAATGTCTGCTATACGTTTGAATGCATAAACGACTAGAACAGAAATATGCATATTCAGGCTGCTTTTTTACAGCACTCGACTCTTCAATACATTGACCTACAGATTTCACAACGATATAAACTAGTAATTCCGAATCAGCCCAAGTAGTTTTTTTAATTAAACAGCACGTTTGCTCTTTATTCATATAATAATGAAATTATCCGTTGGAATCGAATTGTCAATCGGTTCACAACCCTAATTTCGTTTTAGCCCTTTTGAGCCGAAACTCATCTAAAACAATACATTAAAATTCAGTTCGTACCCTTAATAAAACAACGCGTCTCCATTACAGAATCAATTGATTAATGTTGTTCAGCCCTCTGAAGCCTTGGAAGAGTTCCTTTAGTTCGCTGTACATTCTATCATAAAAGATTCAGATATGTTCAGGATTTTGAAGAGAGAATTTCGAGAAAAGGTGGACTGTTCTAGCAAGCCACGTGAACTTCACGGTTATCTAAAGACGAACATAAATTACGGGAAGATTCTGAACCGTGAGATTATAATATTAACACAGGAAGCGGCCGTGGCATATTTTAAGCTAGAATTTTTGTTCGATGCTCGGTAATCCTCAAAAATCTCCATCTCAGAATTGGAATTTTGTATCTTTAGACACGCAAGAGTACTAATCACTTGACCACGTGCTATTTTTTTAATTCATTAGTTTGCAGTTAGGTCAGTACTTACATACAGATAACTTTCGCATCCTTTCACCACATCCGTTTTCTACATTTTTTAATTTCCTTTTTTAAAACACTGTTAGCGAGCTGCACCTGTCTGTCCGTCTACCTAGACCCAGATATAATTACAAAAACCAGAAATATGCTAATCGATTGACTTCAATTAAATTCATTCTGAACACCTTGCCGTATTAGATTCCCCACACTGGTAGTTTCAAACTCCCTTTCATTAATAGTACCAATATGGCAACCGTGGAAACTTGTGTGGTTGCAGTAAAAGCTACGGAATTTAATGCAGGACCCTGGAAGTCTTGTATGGCGATGAATATGAAAAGTATGTAAGGCTTCTTCGGATTCTTACTGTCATACAAAATATTTATAACAAGTCATGAATCATAACTTGTATGGTGACATATACAAACACATGTGTAAGTAATACGAGGCTTATTAATGCACATAATCCTCCAGAAACCTAAATACATCCGCGAACGGTAAAGTACTTTTTTGTGAATGCGTAGAATTCTGTTTCTGCTGATTAAAATTGCTAAAACTCCGAAATTACGCCACAGCGTGTAACCATAACAATAAATGCTCGAGCGTTGACTCAAACCTGTTTTGCAGCGCTGAATAGGCCATATGGTGTAGTGGGTTATGAACGATCAAAGTCTTCTGAGATTTGTGATTCTCAAGGCGGTGAGTATAAAGACGGCTGGCTGCCTTCTGGGTAACACGGTAGAAGCTATCGGCGTTCTAGAAATGCTCGCTGTCTCAAATATCGCTCTGACAGCAAGGACCTCTGACACGCTGGCAAACTTCTACCAGACTACAAGGCGCTACCACCCAGAAGACGACCATCTTTGTGCTCACCGCCATGAGAACCTCAAATCCTACTTTTGCAATGTCCTTCGTCACTCCGATAGTATTAGGAAGTAATTATGATTATAGTAGATACTTCCTAAAACTCTGATGCAGTTTCCCCCCTCCCATTTTTGTAGCTTTGTACACTTCGGTAGGATTTGACTTGGACGTCAATATGTAGATTCTCGGTTATTCTGTACAGAAAATCCGAGAATCGACATAACACACCAGGATGTTACACTACAGACTTGCAACATACAGAATTAGCCACAAGTCGGTATTCTCCATATGGTTTCTTCATTAGCGAGGCAGAGCTAAGTTACTGATATGCCTGAATATGAATTCATCAACTCGGAATTATAGCAAACTATTAAACTTTATACTTTTATCCAAATAATTTCATTCTGCGTTGCATTTGTAATAGAAGTCAGGATGGTTTGAAGATGGCTGTCTTCTGGGTTGATGCGCCTTGTAGCCTGATAGAAGTTACCCGCGCAACAACCCAGACAACAGCCATCGTCTTACTCGTCGCGAGAAACTGAATCTGAGGACAGTTTTTTAATATGACTCCTCTGTTAATATTTTCGAATTCTCGTTTATTTCAACGATCCAGTTCCTTCTCTTTTATGAATTCCGTACCACGGAACCCGAAACTGTTCGGACAATGAGTGGCTCGTTGAAGTATGTCTCCGTGTGAATCATGTGGACTTGGGCTTTCCAAGGATCCAGCCAATCAGTAACAAGGACCAACATCAGTCGCGGGAAATGACTACTGCTTTGACTTTCTCCATGGTATAAAATCTGTAGCTGCAGTAAAATGATACTCATTTCGTTAAAGATAAACCACATAACTGCAATTCTGCGACACTCTGAGTAATAATTGTGTGTCTTTCCACTTCAAAGGTTTGGTGTCTCCTCTTCAAAGAAGGTATGTCATTTGTACTTACGCAAACTAAGACCGAAAATTTACATAAAACATTTATTATTTTGTTTACATTACTTAGAAGAAGCAGCATGAGAAGCATTTGTAAATTTTCTTGACGATTCAAAAAATACTCTAGTATGTATGATCTGAAGCTTTCACGGCGACTAAGTTTATAACTGAGAAAATTTAGCGTCAATTTTCTCATGAAGCTTTGCTGTAAGTTTACTGAAGGTGAGCTATAAAATGACGGTTTCACAGAAAAGCAATATAGTCATGGCAACCAGTTGTGTATTTCGTGAAACAACTTTGAGAATGTTAAGCTATATTTGCATTCCACTGTAATTATTATGACATTCTTAATCGATTAACAATTATCGTCATGTCGTTTCCATCAGGCAACTTGAAAATTTCGTTCGAAGAAACACTAATTGTATCAGAAGCTACTCTTATTAATCACTGAAACACATATGTTAAGAAACACTTCCAGTGGCGACCCCGACAGTCAAAAGACACAGCTGAGCGGGCAAATCGTAGTCAGTGTCTCGTGTGAATGCCTTCGTTTATCTGAATGGTCTGCCAAACTACATTAAAATGCTACAGATTATGTAAAAATTAAAAGTTTCTTTTCAGTTTCTCTATACATGGTTAGAATCTTTGGCGTCTTGCTCCCTCGTTCCCTCTTCCCAACACTTCTTTCAGAGAAGTAGCTCAAGATCGCAGGCGTGTTGCGGCCACCTTGCGTTTACAGGGTACGTTATGAGAAACCTACAGTCATTTTAGCAGGACGTGAAGCTTTCACGGCGACTGAACTTCACAAAATCTTCTCGGTCAAGTAACCGCGTCAGCTATGGGCTTTTGCACAACGAGATTTTAGTGAAACATAATCCCTTTTATGAAATCCGATGGTTCATCATCCTGTTCACAAAATGCAGCTATTGGGTCCTATCCTGATCCAGATGATTTCAGTCCACACTATTGTAAAATTATTACTATCCCATCTATTCACCACTTTATAGGGAATTTACTTCTATGTTTCCGAGGAAAACATTGCTCCTGAGGTACATAGTGCAGCAGCTATTTCCGAAATACATTTTGTTTTTAATATGTGGTACACGTATTATACAGTTTTTTTGTGAGGGATGACTACATATTTTACGACAGCCACTTTCGTATGATGTATGAAGATCCTAAAATGGTAGTTTTCTGAAGTTCCCTGATCTTGTGTTCGCCCGAGATGTTGGCCAAATATTTTCTAAGTGATTTGGAGACAGTTCCAGTTTATTATTATTATTATTATTATATCCCACCTATTCACCACTTTATGGGGGTTTTACTTCCATGTACCCGAGACAGACCTTGTCCCTAAGGTACATAGGGCAGCAGCTATTTCCGGGATCCATATTGTTTTCAGCAAGTGCCAGCTAGTACAATACATGTGACACAAAACTACTTCCTCCATTTCTTCTCTTGTCCAAGCCACTCTTGTTTTTCTTGATTGATTTTCTTGTGAGTCTTGGGCTTGTTGGCTGTACGTGTCCATGGTTGGCCTGCGTTGATTTGCCTCGTTGCCGTAACCAACCTCAGCCCTTGGAGTACCTAGGCGACCTGTACTCTAGATCTTTGTCTTTCCATTCTTCGGTAGTAGTATTATTATTATTGCATGATTAAGCCAGTTATTATATTATTACCGGCATCACCATCGCTATCATCATTCTTTCAAGTCCAAAACACATATTTTGTATGAATATACGCAGATAAAACACCCCTGAATCGAAAAAGTTTCCAATTGTATCCACGTGGGCGGGTAATATTTATGTAATAACCTGTGTAAAGCAGTGTCAACATTCGGTCACCCATTCAAAGAACTTCGAAATATCGCTAATTCATACTTTATATTGGGTGACTAAACAAATCGTTCCCTGTGTTTCCAGTCAGTAGAATCGCGTGTGCTACTACAGTGCAAACTATCACCTATTTAACTCATTTACATGCATAATTTTGACAGTTCAGATAAATGTTAGTTGTGCGTCTTTTAAATAATTCGGCAACTTTAACTGTTCCTTCAAGAGTCGCATTGTCCTTACACTTATATTTTGTCGCGTGTCTGTGATTTCAGGCTTCTTTTTGAAATCTTGGACCCGACCTACAGATGCCTTGAAGACAGAAACTTTTATTTTCAACATTTCATGTTGAGGAACTATAACCCTCTCGTTCTTTTATGCGAATAAAGGAAGTAAAAATTAACAAATGCAAACAGTTAAAAAATGCGTGAAACTTTACGTCCACCAAAGCCATTACAGACATGGCGCATTAAAACATTACCTCAACCCCAGCCGCCTGAATCTTAGCAAACACGCTATCCTACCACGAAAGTACGCCTTCTTTTATGAGATGAACTAACAGTGAAGAAAGTAGAACATAAAATTGTGTATTACAAAGAAACAGTGTAGTGTCGGCACCTATTATTTTGGTCAGGAAGTCAGAGGAGGGTCCACTGCAAAATTGGGCTCGAATCGACCGGGTCCTCCCGTGAGTCACACAGCCGTGACATCGAATTAACTTTTGTTAAGAAAGTGTTTCTAATTAAGCGAGCATAATAAAGTTGTAAACAGAGAATAGGCTTGGGACTAGAAAGAGATCTAAAAAGCATAGAAAAAGAACAATGCATGCGGGTATGGACAATTGCAGACAATGAGCAAAACTCTTTGATAATGCTCTACGGATAATCGTTTATTAAGGGACCGTTATATTTATTTCAATTGTAAATAATGTGTACACAGTTAAATTATAGTTTAACTTCCGCTTAAAGATGGAAAGAACCATGAAAGTTCTGCTCTAAAAGAGCACTCGACATTGCAACATGTAACTATCTTCTAGAATATTTTAAGGTCAAATGAGCCTTATTATAATACGGAGGTTACATTTATTTTATACTTGTCGTTATTTGTGGCAATGAATAGGAGCCTCTAAGTTGTAGACTTAGGGTGGAGAACGAAAATAAGTATATTACGGAGTCCACATAACACGTTGCAATGAAATCTAGAAATATAATTGTAAACAACATCATTATAGTATATATTTATTTATGTTTGTGTATAGACTGAAATAATAAATAAATATATACTGAATTTTAACACAAACATGACGCATCTAAACTATAAACATCATTATAGGCTTTTATTATAGCATTAATGTAAAATTAATCCCATTCATAGAGGCACCTTTACCTTACAATTTAAAGAGAAGGAAAATTCAAGCCGTGTCTTAAGCTACTGGTGCTCGCTAACGCATAATATTCTTGCAGTTTGTTCTACAAAATACTGGGCACAGAACAGCAACGTTACTTTCGCTTATGTAGGAACCAACGGCGTTCTTTTATAATATCATATTTTTTATTACATGGGTAAATATTATTGCGAACTATTCTTCTCAGTATCAACAGCTAAGTCTACTAATATCTAACGCGCAACAATTTTATTTCGCCTTTTCTCGGCTGTGTTAATCTTGCAACAGTAACAAATTAGGAGTTTTGTAATTTATAACAGATGCTTGGACCCCTTAATAATTTTAATTTGCTGACCTCGGAAAGAACAAACACGATCACGAAACAAAATGAAAGTATCGTTACTGCCACATGCATCAGGTGAACGATGCGAGGTTGCCCTTCTAGCCGCCACAGACATAATGTTTGACAAAAGGGAGCAAACGGTATTGAGGTTGGTAAGAGGCCAAACTTGTTCGTGTGACACTCGGTGATAGCAGAAATAAAAAGTGGATTATGTGACAAACTCATTCTTGAAGACAAAGTTAAACTTCAATAGATATTATAAACAATAGGTTTGAAATCACCTTATTCCAATTAAACCATCAGCAACAACACGCTTATGTCGTAAAAGACTCATACACAGCATAATCACGATTTCTTAATCTATAATACAAAATAAAAATTTGGAAACTGGTTTCTCATTCGATTATTTTGCGAAGCAGTATCGACTACTGATGCTTTGCAGTGCCGAATGAAATATGTTACAAAAGCCATAAATGATAAATCCAGTAGGTATAAAGAATCGTAGCCTGTTGTTTTCGCCATCTCCAAATTTTTCTGGAAAATTTGAGAAAAGGCATGAAATCCCTCAGCCAGTATAACCATTTTCTGACTAGGATTCTAACGAAAATGCCTTGCCAAATCGCTTGATCAAAATAAAGTATAACTCTGATGCATAACTTACTTAGTAATACCGTAATAGTCACAGTTATTTAAACCACGTACAGTTTGAAGAACACAATAAAACATATCAAAAAGTAAAGTCTAACGAGCTGTTCATTTCCATGTAACAATGGTCAGATCGGGTAGTTCTCTTGTTGCTGCTTAGTATTTCCCGTTCTCATAAATACTTGAACTGCTTGGTAAATTTGCGACAAACGCCCTGCCAGTTTTGGAAGACCATAGTTCCATTCTCACATAATTCAATTTTAATCTCAGCTTTCGACATCCATTAGTCAAAATAAAGTTAATATAAAAAACAATGGCAGGTGTATGTTATTCTTTTTAATGTAACCACCATGGAACAATCTGCAAAGCTGCAGCGTTTATATAATCAAGTGCCATAAAAAGTGTGTCTGGGCTACTCCGCTACGTACATTCACTTTTCTCTGCTGGAGGTCAATATGACGCCATGTTTCTACAACACGTTTCATTGTCACTTTAAATTTCGTAACAGAACTCCGGCAGTAATTTCACTCTACTGTCAAATGAACGTCACGAAGAGTAGATATACAATGACGGCAACTCGTAATGTTATTTAATGTTCTCAGTAATAAGAGAATAATATGAACTGTAAGTGGGTGTCTTTGATATATTTCTGCATTATACATAACATCATAACAAGCAAGGATACAACGAGGTCGATGTGCCATCTTGGATTTGCATATTTATCAGAAATGATGGTTATCTTGACAGAATTAAAGTATTGGTCAGTCAACTGCTTTGTACGGTCCTGTTT